GCCTGCACGGCTCGCCCCAGCCCGCCTGGGTGGCGGACGCGGGCGGCGGCGGCACGCTGGCCCGGAGGCCGCCCTTCCAGCGCCAGGGCCCCTTGGAGCAGCTGCAGTTCATCCCCGGGCACCACCTGCCGCAGCACCTCCGCACAGCCAGCAAGAACGAGGTGACGGTCTGAGCCCGGCCCGGGAGCTCAGCCGGGACCCCAGGACAGGCTCCCGCCTTCAGGGGCCGGGATGCTCGGTGGGCTTCGTTTGGTCCAGGGGCCGCCTGAGGACTTGACTTGGATGGACTCGTCACCGGAGACCGAGCCTCCTCCTCCTGCAAGGTCACCGGGGTGGAGACCCCGCCTCCTTGTCCTCGCATCATCACAGGAAGCTGCCCGCCTGTGAGGTCATCGTCGTGGGAGAAAAGGTCCGCTCCATGATGTCATCACAGAGACCTCCTTCCGGTGACGTCATGGCAGCCCTGTGATGCCATCACTAGAGACATGGAGCCCTTCCTGTGACGTCACTGCAGAGACCGGCCTCACCCTCATGACATCATCTCTAACCACAGGCCTCTCTCTTTGCATCATCATCATCATCCTATTTCCTTCCTGGGTCTCTGTCCGATGGCATCATCGCCACGGACAAAGCCATCTTCTGGTGACACGTGCATCGTGCCCTCCCTGGAGATGACGCCTCCTCTCGCTGCCATTGCCGCAGGGGCTCTGCCTCCTCCCTGTGTCGCCATTGCCAGGGGTGCCAGCCTGCTCTGAGGACATCTTCAGGATGAGGCCCTTTCTGCAATGTCACCACCAGACTCCACTCATTCTGAGATGACACCAGGCGACCCTACTCCCACTGCTGAGATGTCATGAGGCGTCTGGGCATGGCCACCCAGAGTCCTTGGCTACCGTGGGATGCCACTGGGGGAAGTGCCCTGCTCGGAGATAGCCTCTGAGCGGTATCCCCGCTGAGGAGGCTGCCCTGTTCCGAGGGCCCTCTGCAGAGATGATGCTCTGTCTGAAGGTTGTTGCTGACACTCCCCCTCCCCCCCGAGGCTCTGCCGCAATGTCACTGTCAGATCTTTCTCCTCAGACGCAGTGCCCTTTCTGGAAGTCCTCACTAGCAATGGTGTCACCAGAGTTCCTGCCTTGTTCCACCACCACTTGACTTGGTCCCTCTTTCTCCCAACCCTAGGGATATGCCCGACAGGATCTCCTACAGACCCTGCGGGGCAATTTCTCCCTCTACAGGGAGGTTGGGCCTTGGGTCCCACCCGTGGGCAGTTATGTCGTTTCCTGTTGGGACCCCAGGAGGATGGCACTCCTAGACAGGCTGTTGCTCCCAAGGAGGCCACTCTGCCCATCAGCCTCCTCAAGTCCTAGCATTGGGATTTGTGGGCGGCCCAAAGGCTGGCATCAGTCATTCTACCGTATCTAGAGACATCATCAGCTCCATCAACAAAGTCCTGGTCTCCTGTTGGGGGCACTTAGGGGGTGCCTACTACTGACCTTGCTGACGGCATCATCAGCACCACAAGACTTCCACTGCTTGTGGCGGTATTCTGTCCAAGGTCAAATGTCAACATGGCTGATGATGACATCACTTTCCCGGGATTCCCTGTGCCCAATGGCATCTTCATGTCCCAGCATCCACCATAACTATGGTATCATCCTCTTGCAGGATTTACCATGACTGTTAATGTCATATCTCCTAAGATTCCCCAGAGCCAACAGTGTCCTCATCTTCCATGGTGTCCCAGACCATGGTGTTATCTCCCACAATGCTCTGTGACTAATAGTAACATCTTCTCCCAAGATCCACCAAAATCACTGTATCATCATCCCCCATGATTCACCATAGCCCATAGAGTCATCATGATGTCATCAACGTCCAGTATCCACTCTGGCAAATGGTGACATCTTCCACCAGGATTCTACTCAGGCCATGATGCCATCATTTCCCATAATCCACATTAAGTGTAGTACCATCAACTGCAGAATCCATCCCAACCATGGTGTCTCACATCCCAGGATCCATGAGAACCAATGATGTCATCATCTCCCAGGATCCACTCCAACCATGGTGTCACCACATCCCAGGATCCATGAGAACCAATGATGTCATCATCTCCCAGGATCCACTCCAACCATGGTGTCACCACATCCCAGGATCCATGAGAACTAATGATGTCATCA